ATATATATATATATATGTATTATTTGTTTATTTATACTTAAGAGACATACACAGAGGAAGCGACGTATACTTCCTGCATAGTCCCTTCCCACAGGCCATGCACATACTGACCTTGCTTGACAACGGTTTAGGGTCCACCGTTTTTGCGTGTGTGTATTGCAGCCTCCTTGTGAGGCTTCTTTACAGCATATACACCACCTTGCAGTTACCTCCCAAATAATGCTGTCTGGGCTTAGAGATCAGTTATCAATATACATAGCTACTTGAATGCGTAGATACAAGTGTATTTACATCCATACATGCACCTTGCAGAACCCTTCAATAGAAACCATACAAGGAATCCCAAACCCCAAATCCTAAAGCAGCCGATATCTGAGGCCTACCCTTCAGCCGGAGGTGTCGGAAGCCGCAGATCCAGTTCCGGAGCATCCGGACACGAAGGAGAGTTGTGAGGAGGTTTAGATGTTCAGGTTTAGGCTTACTATGAGAGCCCCATTCGGGGATTTAGAAGTTGAGATTTGGGCTTTTTGGAGGGTTTGGGGTTTCTGGTTCGGGGTTTAGGGTTTAGGGTTCAGTTTCGGGGAGAATTTGTTCTATGCATGAAATGCAGTTGGTGACAGGAGACTGTGCCGCCTCTCGAGACGACGACGAGCTCAAAGGACTTGCTCCTGAATGTGCGCAGGACTCCGCCTCAAGTCCGGCAGCGGGAGCTTTAATTAGGTGTAGGGTGGAGTGATTAGCATGTGGGTTTGGGTTCGCTAAAAGCTTGTGTGGGTTTGGGGCTTAGCCCTAAGCTCTAAACCCTAAACCCTAAGCCATAAACCATACCCTAAGGCCCAAAGCCCTAAACCCTAAACCCTAAACCGAATGATGGCTTGTCAGGAAGCAGTCCGAAGGCAGCTGCAGAAGTCAGATGAGCGTGGCCAGCGCCCACGCCTCAGCCAGAAACTCTTGAGGAGGGTTTATAGGGTTTAGGGCTCATGGGGTTTAGGGTTTAGGGCTCATGGGGTTTAGGGTTTAGGGCTCATGAGTTTAGGATTTAGGGCTTACAGGGTTAAGGGTAGGGTTTTTATCCCGTGCAGGGTTTACCTGGACCCTACCGAACCTAGCCGTTTTGAGGTTCTTTCTGATGGTTTCCTTCTATAAGTCCTGAGAGAGGTAGGTTCTTTAGGGTCTGGGAAGGGTCTGGGGTTTAGGGCTTGGGATTTTGCTTGTTGGAGTTTGGGGTTCCAGGGTCCACCGGCACCTCAAACAACCTACCTTTCTGAGAAGCCTAAACGCTAAACCCTAAACCCTAAACCCTAAGGAAGCCATGATGACGAACTCTGAACATGGGGTTTTCTAGGGTGCACGTAGGGTTTAGGCCTGGGGTTTGTACCCTGGGGGCAGTGTACATACCATATGGGTACATGGACCCTTCGGGAATTGGACCACGACTGGGTTCGGCGTGCTTGATTTCTGGCTCGAAGCCGTCCCAAACAAAATCGCAAGCACCCGCATGCTGAGGTCGCTTGTTGCTTCAACTTTGGGCGGAGGGCCATGTATATTCAATTCTGAAGCCAGCTTATTCGCGGGTTTGTGACGGTTGGTCCAACCAGCAGCGTTTTTTGGCAATCTCACCAGTGTACAGGCAGTTACAAGGCCTGACGTCTTCAATTCTTGCAAGCTGTTTTGCCTTAGAAAGTTGTGGCGGCCTTTGTGACACTTTAAGCCTTGTCCTTGTAACCTGTCAGCAGCTATAAGGTCTCGCATTGGAATTTCTGTGCTCTTTTGAGTCCGGCTTGCTTCTGAACCCTTAAACCGTGATCTCTCAGCCCTTATGATCCCTTTCTGTCTTATATGTGGACCCCTAAACCCTAAACCCTAAACCCTTAAACCCTAAACCCACCTCTCAGGCGATAACTCTCGCGGAGATGACGCAAGCACGCAGAGCCGCCGCCAACGTGCAGTCGACGCTCGTCGGAAGTACTATAGGGGCCTAAATAATTATCAATATTATTCTGGTGGTTTCAGATTAAACACTAAACCCTAGACCCTAATTTTGGTGGTTTCTTATGATAAGATATAATATCATGGGCCCCAAAACCCTATTCTACTTATTAAGGCCCCTAAAACCTAAGCCCTTATAGTAGCCCTTATAGAACCCTTCAAGGAGCCGTTTAAAGGACTCCCCCCCCCCAAAAAAAAACCTACTCTACTTATTAAGGCCCCTAAACCCTAAACCCTAAACCCTAAACCCTAAACCCTAAACCCTAACCCTTAACCCTAAACCCTAACCCTAAACCCTAAACCCTATATTACCGCATTTTGTTGCTTCAGGGTGCAGATCAGAAATTTTGCGACCCTAGGCCGCCGGTTTAGGGTTTAGGGTTCTAGGGTTTAGGGTTTTAAGGCTTTAGGGTTTAAGGTTTAGGGTTTTAGGGTTTTAGGGTTTAGGGTTTTAAGGCTTAGGGTTTTAGGGTTTTAGGGTTTAGGGTTTTAAGGTTTAGGGTTTAGGGTTTTAGGGTTTAGGGTTTTAAGGTTTAGGGTTTAGGGTTTTAGGGTAAAGGATTCCCAGAGGCTCCATATATACTACCATTATGGAATTAGGTCCCTAAAGCCATAATAGGCATGCTTCTTAACCCTAAACCCAAAACCCTATAATTCCATAATGGTAGTCTATATATGGAGCCTCTAGGGTTGTGTGTTTTTCAGCATTGCACGCCGGCTCTTGGGTCAAGGGTTTACGGCCCTCGGGGGGTCTTTTCATGGCTCTTCTTATGGTTCTACAAGCAGAGGGCTCCTGTTTAGTGAGTTCGAGGGTTTTTTTTCCTGAGGTTTAAGGCTTCCTATTCAGGTGGGTTTCTACGGTACAGTGTGACATACGAGCAGTGTTGGGGTTGGCGAGGACGACGTTTAGGGTTTAGGTTTCTCCTGATCATTCATAGCACACGGTTGCAAAGGCCGAGCCTTGGAGCCTCTGCAACTGTCGGAAGTCGCAGCTGGCACCACGGAACCACATACATCCTGATCCCATCATCCTGCACCAGAATTACGAGCTGCCTCCAGACCATGCTGCAAAGTCTTCACAGGAAACAGGTGGTCAGGTACATATGGCCCTTGGGCATAGGAAGGTTTGGATCTACAGACGGGGTGTGGACGTTTTGATTTCGTAGCTCCCTGCGATCTAACACATTTCGTGGACCTGGATAGAGTTTACCAGTAGCTGCAAAAGCTACTATTGACCGCAACAGACGAGCATAAAAAGCCGTATGTACCCATTTTGCTTGCACCGTGGTTCCCGCTGTCTTGAAAAGATTGTCGATGTTAAGTATCGCAGCTTCATTTGTGATTTCGAAAAACGATGGTTTCCAGTCTCAGTAGCCATGGCCTGGCTTGCATACAAGTTGGAAACGATAAGAGTGTGCAACCACTCGTGGTTATGGTGCTCATTTGCATTTGTCCCAAACTTTGAACTATGGGGAATCCAGTTCAGTTCTTTCTCAACCTCAGCAGATATTGGTCTTTAACAAAAAGAGCCGGCGTGGACAGACCAAGTGACAACATTAGACCTCCGGTCATGGCGGCATTTTTGTACACGCACGCACTTGTCTATATAAGTTAATATTGCTTTATCTAAAACAAGAAAATATTCAGTTATAGCATATTAAGATACATGGAAATATACTCTTAGTTTACTGAAACACAATGTGATATAGTTTAGGGAACCCTAATCCGAAGCAAGTTACATATCACGATGCGTTCTGATCCTTTAGTCACGGACTATGCTGAGTGTGCCCTGTTGATTGAGACAGGCCTATTGATTGTTTAGGGTTTAGTGCTTGTTTTTGGCATTTGGGGTATAGGGTTTCGCTATGCAGAGCTCAGAATAGAGGGGCCTTTAGAATTCGAACATCATTCCTTGGGTTCCACGATCTTGCTTCTGTGATCCGAGCGCTCAAGACACTGGTCCGGTCGTCTTCTCGACATTAGGATACCGTAAGGGTTCAACATATGGGTTCCGGTAGTATGGAAGGTCCACAGACAAAGTGTGAACAGGGCCGTATCCACAGACAGCCACGCAACACGAGAGAGGTTGAGCATACGACATGCCAGCTGCACAGCTCACGTCACCCGGTTTGGCACTATAATGGACTAGCTTGCGAAGGAGATAGTGACATTCTTTACTATCATGGGTGTGCAGCGAATGAACCACCACCGAATAAGGTTTGAGGGTCAGGGAGAGTTGTTGTTTGGATCATACTTGATTGTGCCAGTCAGGCTGACGAGTCTGATGTGAGCTGTGGCTCTCACGTTTTTATGCCGGAAACCCGAACCCCGACATGCCCAAAACCTTACAGCCCAAACCAAACAAACCCTGCATTATAGAGCCCAAGCCCTGACAAGTCCAAAGGGCGGACGAAGGCAGGCAGAGCTTTGAAACAGATACACTAGGTTCCTGAGTGGTCCCCTTTTGCCTTTTTTTTATCGTAGGATCCCCTCATTAAACCCGAATAGTAGGAAAAGGGTACCCTTATTATAAAAGGGCTACTCAGGAACCTAGTACAAGTATACAATTTTCAGTCCTGAACTCTAAAGCCTCTAAAGCCCCTAAACCCTACACTCTAAAGCCGTCTAAAGCCCACGTAAGCCTCAAACTCATTGTCGGCCTTTAAGCCTCCGAGTTTCTGTCTCGATCTCGATGGCTTAGGTTAGGGTTTGGGCTCAAGGCTCAAAGCTTCAAACCCTAAACCCTGCCAGGCCCCCTCCAAGGGCCGTTTAGTGGAGCGCTTATGGTCCTTAATAGTGGGTATTGAGGGTGTGTTAGAGGGTAGTTGGGGGGTCTAGGTAAACCGAAACCCAAAACCCTAAACCATAGTTGAGGGCTTAGGGAAGCGCTTCTAGAGTTCATTGTCTTCTGGTTTGTTTCTGCCTCCCAGGTTTGACATGTTTGCTGCTGACAATGGCGAGATTGCTCCCGTTCCTCGGCCTCTTTCGTCGGAGTATCTCGAAGAGGGGAGTCGGGGTTTCTATAGCCCAAAGTGTAGATACTGAGGGTTCCTTTAAAGGGTTACGGGTTCTATAAGGGTGCCATATGGGTCTATGGTTGAGGTTTTAAGGGTCCATGTTCCCAAATAGCATATACGCTGGCCCCAAAGTACGTATACAGGGACTACTTTAACCCTAAACCTTAAACCCCTAAACCCTAAACCCTAAAAGTCCATTCTTTTACTATTTGGTACATGGACCCTTAGGGAAGGGTTCTGGACGGGTCGAACCACAGGTTTCCTATTAAAGAGTCTATACGGGGTTTTGGGGTTTAGGGTTTTGGGGTTTGGGGGTTTTGGGTTTTGGGGTTTTGGGGTTTTGGGTTTTGGGTTTAGGGGTTTAGGGGTTTAGGGTTTAGGGTTCTATAAGCGCACTACTAGAAGTGTTCGATAGGGGAGGGCTCGCTGGAGTCTGTGCAGAACCAGGTATTGCAGGGGTTTGTTGCACATATGTTTGGGAGTCAAATGAATCATAGCCATAGGTTACAGGTGGGCTCTTGTTCAGGGATGTAGTTTACGTCACCATGACAAAGAAACCACATTATTTACTATAGATCCCTATCATGGTAGCTTAAACGAAGTTCCTTAAGTTTAAGACTAGCAGGAGCCGTCAGGGAGGATGCAGGTCAGTTTGACTTCGTAGTCTCGGGCTACTCCTTGTCCCCTAGAGGCACAAGCCTTGAACAGCATTCTCGGCAATTACTGGTGCCTTCTGCATGGTACGCGACACGACGGTACTTTCTGAAGTGCAACCCTGAAAAAAGCCCGTTGACGTTTAGTTTTCCATGTTGAGGCTTACAATGTTTAGGGTACTTGAGCTCAGGCCTTGTGGACGGGTAGAATAGACATTTGTGCCCAGATTGCTTTTACTTATCACCATGTTCCTGCTTAGAGTATCCTTGCCTGTCGTTGTGACTATGCCGTTGGCGATACTGACGGCCTGATTATGATGACGCCTATGTAGGATGATGGTGATGATGCCTTGATGTTGTAATGCTGCTGGCCAGGATTTCTGGTTGGAAGTGTCATCATCATGACCATAATGTTCATAATCTTCTGCTTCTTCTTCATCATCACACATCACCATCTTCTTCATCATCATCATCATAGTAGTACTATTCTTCTTCACCATCATCATCATCATCACCATATTCAGCCTCATCATCATCTTCCTGATCATGATCCTCAGCATTCATCAGGATTTAGTACGACAATCCGCATAACCATGGCGAAGCCACGACTCCGCTCCTCCCGCTAAAGCAAAGTGTTCCGTTGCGCTCGCGCTTCGAACCCTTTGGGATTTAGGGCTTCGGGTTTAATATAGCGGCATAAATAATCGCCTGCACTATTTTGGGGGCTTCCTGATTAGAAAAAAAGTATAGAATGCCCCAAAACCCTCTTCTATTCATTAAGGCCCCTACATTAGGCTAGATACCGGTTCTCGAACTGTCACTCGATGTCTGCCGACGCTGACATGAACTGGAACACCCTAGAGTCGAAAGCTGCACCTGCTCTTCACGGTTTAGGGTTTAGGGTTTAGGGTTTAAAGTTTAGGGTTTAGGGTTTAGGCTTGCTCTTTGACTCCTTCTCGTTGAGATGGGCCCCAGGAGTCTCCCAGCGGCCGGGGATCGGCATCAAAGAGTCGTGTCGGGGGCCAAGGCCAAGGTACAATCCGTAGCGGACCGCCGATGGAATGAATTGCTTGGATGTAGCATCTGGTTTAGTAAAAACGCTAAACGCTAAACTCGGGAAGAAGAGTCTTAAGACCTCGGAGGTCGAGATTAACATTTAGAGGTGTGCAGTGAGGGAGTCAGGAAGCCGACATTGTGTGATTTTTTGTTTGGCCCTTTGTGTATCTTTGTATCTTCCCTTTGAAGAGGATTCATGGAGAGGTGCACATTCGGCTTGTCAATGCAATCCTAGCTGTCTACTATCATGAGGATCTAGACATATCCCTAAGGGTCCACGTGCCCAAACAGGATATACATTGGCCCTGAACTGAAGTACCTATATACGGACTAATTCAAGACCAAAGTGTGTACTATTTGTGCACATGGACCCCTTATAGGGCTTTGGGTATGGTCTTTCTGTGTCGCGATCAAGCAGTCGTCTTTCGACTTTGCAGAGTTGGCTTCTCCGAACGAGATCCAGACAGAACAGCCCGACGCCATCTTCGTCTCTTCTGCCCTGCACGCCCGCATCCGACAACAAAAACAAACCGAGGTCCATAATATAGTGGCATGTAATCTTGTTGCTCTAGCTTCCTTAATATGCTTGTGTAGGTCATGTACTCAAGCGACTCAAGCAAGATAGGCTGTGTGAATTCCTGAAGGACAAACCCTACCCGTACTGAACCTGAGCACCGGATACCCTACATCTGCTGCGATTCGAAAACCTACATCGACCATCAGCCGCTAAGCCCTAAACTGTACTTGTGACTTGAGCTCTTAACCCTAATCAAGCGTCTGCTGCGGCCAAGACTACGAACCCCTCGGGTGCGATGGATGTCTTCTTCTCGGAGAGCCAGGGGAGTGGCTGGCATCGTTTCCAGAATCGGACGCTCGACCGCGCTTTAGGCTCTAGGGGTTTAGGGTTCAGGGGTTTTCTAGATACTAGCTTTTGTGCAACGTTGTTTTTTTCTGTAGTATTGCTCGGTGCGTATGTGTGTTTACAAGATTTGGCATTGTCGTGTTTGAGGCGCGAGTCTGAGCACTGGGATCCCGGGGGGCGGAAGGGGGGGGGGGGG